AAGGTTATCGCGTATCGCCTGTGATTGGTTGATGATCAGGTGCGCGATGTTTCTTATTGGTTATCGTATTCTACGTCATTTCGTAGTATTTTATGACGTATATATAGTAAGAACGAGAGTTGCAGACAGCAGAGTAGACAGAGATTAGATTACAGACAGTAGATTACACCAGTGTAAAGGTGTGTGTTTAATTTAGGTTTTTTTTGGGTTAAATAATTTGATTAAGTGGTGTGGGGGAAAACTTTATTCAGAGATTGAATAATATTTATTTACCAGTATATTACTGGTGTGGATTTTCATGATTACTGGTTTATTACCAGTTTAGGATTAAACTTGGGATTTTAATAGGTCTAAGAGAGTTAGACTTGCACATGAATTATTTAATTACTGGATAAGACTCCAGTTATAGAGGTTTTTTTATGAGTTTGTGAAACACCAGAGATTTTGTGAAATGTTGAACAGTATTGTTTTGTTTCCTGTTAAATAAATTTATAAATTTTCAATGGAGTTCTTGACTTGTTGAAGACAGTCCAGTTAGCGTATCCGCACGTTACACTATATAAAAACTGTGTAAACAACATTGATTGTATAAAACATGGGATAAAAAGAATCTCCTACGATTTGTAGAAGATTTTTATCCATCTTTGTTTTTATCCCCTCGCCAAGGCTCATGGATTAAAAAAAAAAACAATTGTTGGATAAAAATCATATCCAACTATCATGAAAAATCCTGTATGCAACCTCTCTGTACATATAAATTTTCTGATGTCTGAATTTTTTCAGCCCCCGACGATGCCTCGCTACATATTTTATGGTTCTTTCCTTACTTTATGGAGAAGAGGATAATTGATTCATTTGAAGATTTCCAAATGCTAGATTACAAGGTAGGTAAACTATGTAAATTACCTATTAATGTTTCATTCAAATGAAAAAGGAATGGATTGCAGTTTTCAAATGAATTAATATCGTAGTAGAAAACAAAAAATGAAAATGATTCAATAATAACGTAATTGGTTTATTATTTCATTTCATCTGATCTATCACTTTACTGTTTTTAGGTGGATTATGACAACCATCAGCTGTTCCAGGGTGATGTGAAGAAGTATGGTTCCCCGGTCAGGATATTTACCAATGTTCCCCCTCACAAGATCTCCCTCCCAGCAGAAGAGGGGTACAGGTAGTGTGTCATGAGTTTTTTTATATTCATCAGATTACATACGAGGGTTGATCCAAAAGTTCGTGGAATTTCTTTCTAAAATTTTATCATGATTTAACAAAAGCAAACAATAGGCATATTTATAAAATAGAGTCATAATGCAACAAAATTGGAAAATTTCACCACGTTCCAATTACCAATAAGGTCACAAGAGCTTTCTGAAAATGGATGGTTGTGAAACCCGGGGGAGACTTCGACGTAACGTCAAGTTAGGTATGTCACGTCACGTTATAGAATCATCTCACCCTAATGTCAAATTCGAACACAAAATTCTTCAAAATGCTGCCCTTTTCTCCATTTTTTTTCTCAAGAAAAGTCTGAGCATGCTCTCGCACTAATTTATCTTCATTTTTTACTCATATTTCAAAATACCCCCTATCTTTCCATATGATGTTCCGATTTCAGTAGCAATGTCAAGAACAGTACGTCAGCCGACAACGTCTATTAACGCTTTCAATTTATCAAGGGGGACAACACTTAAAACAGAGCCTAAAAAAGGCGGCCACACCTTTAATCAACGTCCATGAAGGTTCTATTTTTCTTCATTTTCTTACGCCACTGGAAAACCAGTGGCTAAATGCATTTTTCCTCAGTCTATGTCAATAATATACGCATTTAAGATAGAGTGATCCCGGGATTTTCACAAAACTTATGACTTGACCGAAATTTGACGTCGTCTAACAACCTTAAGATGAACAATGAATTATTAACTAATAAACAAAATATCAAGTAAAATCAGTAAAATACACACACAAGGGTTTATAAAAGATCAAGCAATCGTAATAATGACATAATTTTCATTTTCTATAACACGAAGAGCGGTTTAATTCTCATTTCAAGTATCAAGAATTAAAATGATAATAAACGCGTTGATGTCTCCCCCGCATTTCCTAACATCCGTTTCTATGGCAACTGCCATAGAATTACTATCACAAATATTTAAAATATTTTTAAATCTAAAATATTCAACAAGTGTCTTTATTCTCATTTGTAATTTTCAACCAATTTCACTTATAAATGAATGAAATATTAAGAAATTCCACGAACTTTTGGATCAACCCTCGTACATATAAACTACATTTTCATCTTTCGACCATATACTTTTCTGACATTTGATAAATCATATGAAAATCTTTTTTATGTTTTTAGGTTTTGTAAAGTATGTAATAGGTATTCTTCTAAGGAAAATGTTCACTGTGATGTCTGTGACATTTGCCCCTCAAAAGTAAGTCTGTACGAATTATCTGTAAGCCATTCAATATATGTCATTCTACCTACCGGTACAATTTTATTCGTGTATAATTGTTATATCCTCTTTGGAGAGCATATTGCTATGCTGCTGTCTGTCAGTCAGTCTGTCGGTCCATCATCAGTTTCCATTCATTTCTTTGCAGAGGTTGCACAAACTGAAATAAAATTTGGTAAACAGATTTATCATAAGAATGTCTAGGTCAAGTTTTGTGATTGAGCAATGTTTGACAGAGTTATGCCCCATGGACTTAGAAAAATTCCAATTACCTGCAGTTTCTGTTCATTTTCTTTGCAGAGCCTGAGGTTGCACATACTAAAATCAAATTTGAAATAAAGATTTATCATAAGAATATCTAAGTCAAGTTCTGTTTGGGGTATGATCGAGAAATTTTTAACAGAAGTATGTCCCCTGGACTTAGGGTAATGCTCAAGGGAAGGGAGGGGGGCATAAGTGTTTTCACAAATATCTCTTTTGTTTTTCTTTAAATCTATGTCATTCCTCCTACACTGAATATTCAGGTGTACATTTTTCCAAGAATGTTAAAATGTCTACAGAAGTTTTTATATTTTTGAAGGATGGCAGGACATACAAACATTGTTTTCAGTGTGAACGGTGTGTGAAGCCCAACAAAGAACATTGCAGTGTTTGTAAATCATGTCAGTTAAAAGATCACAACTGTGGGAAACCTAGACAAGGTAAAAATAATTTTAGTGTACTTATGAATTCAGAAGGAAATGTAGATACAGATTCTCTTTTTCTGAATCTTGAGTCATAGAAGGCCATGACAAAATAATTTTCGCCCTTTTTACTTCAAAGCTCTAGAAAGGTTCCATATTTAACAGTTCCCTTTCAAAAGGTATCATTCTTAAGGATTTAAAAACTATAGAAAACTTTTTGATTGTTTGATTGATTGATTTTTTTTATATGTAGGATGCCATATTTGTGGAGCTTTGGGTCACAAGAGGAGAAATTGTCCAAAGACAGGATCTCAATCACCAGCCAAAAGGTTCAAAGTTAAATTTATTATTTTTTAAATTACACTTCAAATTTTACAGTTCAATATTATATACATGTATACCACAGGAATTCCCAAACATTTAAATCTTCTTATTTTAAAGAAGATTTTAATTGAAAAGAAATTCTATTTCACAATAGCAGTGGTTTAATGTGAGATACTAGTAATGTTCTATATGTTTGGCAATTGATCTTTTTATTTTTTAAGGAAGAAGAAATGGTCTGAAGATGGAGCAAGAAAAAAAATGAAATGTACAAAAATTTAAAATAAAACTTGGTATCTATCAAATTCTTCTTTGTGTTTAACAGGCAATTATTTTGTATGAAAATAGAGTTCTGACTCAATATTACAGCTTAAGACACAAAAAGAATTTCAAAGTCAGTTGTTAAAAATACTATATGTATGCAATATACATGTATAACATTATCATAGTTAAGCTTGGCTATTTCCAGTGAAACTTTATAGAACCGAATATTTCATCAACCTTATCAATATATAGGGCTTATGTAAAGAATAACGAATAACCTGTCAACAGGATATACTCTCAATGAAGGCACCTGATCCCTCTTCTGAAATTTCTAAGGGTCTGCGCTTTTTGCCCTGTCCAGAAAGTCCTTTGATTGCATGGGTTTTTTTGCTAAGTTGGAATAAATTGTTTGTGCAGTGCCATTATCGATATGTGATGTGCAGTCAACTTTATGTATGTTCTTTACAAAATCGGAATAGTCCATTGTAAGAAATAACTACAATCATACATGTATTTGGGGAAAATTGATACCTCAGTATCAAGGTAGTAAGTTTTTTTTTTTTTTTTCAAAAAGTCAAACAGTTCAGAAATGTGGTGCCAAAGGAAAGCTCTTAATTAGGGCCCTGCAGGGATTTGCGGGTGCCCTATAGTAATCACTCTGTCCGTCCGTCTGTCTGTCTGTCTAGCTGTCCGTCTGTCACTCTTCCGTCCACAAATTTTCTGTTTTTTTTCTAATAACTTTTTTTATGGATGCCCAATCTTGTTCAAATTTGGTATGGTAGTTCAGTAGGCAGAAATACATATTTTGATGCTAAGTTTGGTTCTCTATGTCTTCTGGTTTGGAGCTGGGGTGGTGGGGTAGATTCCTTAACTATGCATAAGAATGAATGGACAACTTTTTTTATGGTTGCCCAATCAAGTACAAATTTGGTATGGTAGTTCAGTAGGCAGAAACACATATTTTGATGCTAAGTTTGGTTCTCTATGTCCCCTGGTTTGGAGCTGGGGTGGTGGGGTAGATTCCTTAACTTTATATACAAAAGCATTGGCAAAGAGAGATAACTGCTGAAGATGTTCCCATTGTAAACTGAATGCTGCTATGAGTCCCTTGGGATTAATTAGCTTTCCTCCTGAAGAAAATCCAGAGCATTATCTTTATCTGTCAAATTGAGATGAATTACCACCTCTTTCTGCAAATGAAGTTTGTTTTGAATTTAAGTCAATTTGGAATGCTATGAACACTCTGAAATGTGGATTTAAATATAAATTTTTAGACGGTGGCTATTTATAGCCACAGGCTATAGCTGCTGGTCAGTGTAAACACACGGGGACCCTAGCGGCGATTTTTGCAGAGTCAAAATAATGAAAGTAGACTGATTTCGATGTTTGAAAATAAAATGTACATAGGTAACAAATACATTGAAGTTATTTTAAAGACATTTCGTTGATGGATACAAAGCCTAACTCCTGATAATTGCCGTTATCAGTATTTCTCGCCTCATGAATATTCATTACACCGAACTAAACTAACTCGTACACCAACGGACTCGTATATTCGTGGGCAAACTACACATGTCAACTCGTACACAATTTTCTCGTTTTTTCTCACATGTTCGAAAAATCATTTTCTATGCACGTTGTGTTTCTTTAAATTACCGAATATTTGTTGAAAAATGTAACTCTGAAATCAAATGCTAGTAATAAATAATTGCTAAACAACACACGGCTGTTTTTTACTGAAATACTGCTTTGTGGATTTTTTTTTACAATAAAACTTGAATAGTTTAATGTAATTTAACAAAGTCTTTTGATTGTTTTTTGTATCTGTTTTCAATGCTATATTAGTAAAACGGAGATATGTATTTTAGGAAAGAAGAAAAAAGATCACTAAATCTTAATCAGTTCGTAGTGACGGTTGTTGGAGGTATATGATGCCATAAAATTTGCTAAGTTTATCATCATTCTAGTTCTTGAAAATAAGACTTTGTTTGATTATCTCGGACACAAAAACGACTTAACGTATAATTTGTCAAATTTATAATTAAAGAGACTATAACGGACACAATTTACCCATATATTTCATTCCTATTTATTAGATACTCTAGCGTGCCTCTAATAAATTTAACCGAAGATATACGAAAAAGGAACTCAAATACAAGTGCATGAATTAATATTAGTATTAGGATTTTTATGTGATTTAAGCTGAATCACATAATAAGGAATGTGGCTTTGGGCTGAATTTCGGTCAGTCTTCTAGTGTGTTCATCAAGCAGTAAATATGCACTGGGACTTGCAGGGACGTTGCATATTAGAATATTACGTATGAGAAATAACATACACTGTAATCACAAACCACTGCGAAAATGTATAAGATATTCAATTCTGGGGAAAGCTCCATACGTATATATATATAGACTCTGATCGTGACTTGAGACGACGGAAAATAGAGACAGAAAAATATTTTGTTATTCTGTTTTTTTTCTCTTTTTTCGAGCAGTATACGAGGGTTGTCGTGTACAAAGCGTTTTTTCTCGTAAAATAGTGGGCGCTGCAATATGAAATTTTTAACAAGTATTTTTTTTTATCATATTTTAATGTATCTGAATTCTTTTGATACACTTGAGACAAAAAAAATAATACTTTATCAACACGCTTTAATGTTACACACGATAAAAACCCCGGTTATGAAAATAATACGAGTATTGTTTCGAAATAAAAGTCTTAAATAGATTTTGGTCTGGAAAGCAGTTCAGTTTTTTCCTTTTTAGTGTAATAGAGAAATGGGAGTTTTCTAAGATAATCGTTTTAATCAAATCCAAGGGTAGAACAAACAGCTACAGAAATAGCGAAAGGCGCTGACAATGTTGATAGCCAACATATGTATAAGATTATTTAGTTGAATGAAAGTAAAAATATTTATCCATAACTTTAGTACTAATAAATCTTCACAAGGCCCCTTTTGTGCGCGATATTGGTTTCTGACTGTTATTTGAAGAATTAAGGGAAACTCAAATATGTGCATCAATGATATTCCTTGATTTAAGTGGGAATTATCCAACGTGTTTTTGTCAAAGAGGAAACTTGACGCTGCTTTAGACACTTTGACATTATCATCCGTAACACATTAAATGAAATCTTATAATTTGCAATTGTTTATTTAAGAAATGAATGTAATATTTTTTCCTTTGATCGATGTATCAAAGAAAAGATTTGGACGGGAAACTTCATCAATGCGCGTAGCGCATCGATCAAAGGAAAAAATATTACATTCATTTCTTATCATTTATTTATGATTTTAAATTTATAAATTGAATCTTTCTTTCACCTTTCTATTAAATTTACGCATCAAAAACGGTGCGCACGAATACACAACAACAATACGTTGCCGAAATTCAAAATGGCTCAAACGAAGAAACGTTCTCAAATATTGTCGTGGCATTACCAACATTCTCTGAAATAATTTACAGTTAACACAAAAAACTTACCTGTTGTGTTATCCCAGTCGGTATATTTTCCCTGGTAAGTTATAGTACGTAAATGTAAAGGGAAGCTACTCAAATATCCTAACAGTTCTAACGTTTGGTCACAGAAATTTTGGATTTCATTTGCACCTCTTTTCATCTGAATTTCAAACCGAACATATAAATACGTATCACAACCTGTCAATGCTGTAAAACCTGAAAGATTCTGCTGTCGACTTTTTAAGAACAAAAGAATCTGTCCTCATTCATGCAGTGTCGTTTTTCTCGATCGTTCGTTTCCCAAGTTTTAACAGATTAACGGTTTTTCCTCTCTTTGGTAGCATAAAAACGTTTCCTCGGAATTCTATTGCATGTTCATACCAGACATCTCAAAGCCAAACATATAACAAAATTATGTCGATTTCTTTCCTTCTTTCCCAAAACTGTATTGTTGTTATGCAGACGATTTGATTTGTTTAGCAAAGGGGGATAATTCAAAAAGAAACGAAAGTAGAAAATAAGTCGGGGACGTAACGGACAGGTTTCGAAATTCAGGAAAATATTTATTAAAGTAAAAGTATTTAATTATTCCTCCAAGAAGTAACCTGGGAGCGGGAAATATACATGTAGAGACTGCCAAAGTAGTTCCGGCTGCTTAGCATGCTTAGTGCAAGCGAACTCTAGATTTTATTGATGCAGGTATCAAAAGAATTTTTAAACCAATCAGAATGAAGTATTTTATAGAAATTAAATGATTTATAAATGCATATACCTATTTGAAGTTTGCTGTGTTTTTTGATGACAAATGTACTTAAGATAGTGCGTAAACATTCTAGATCACAGTGAGAATTCATTACAATTTACTTTTTAGTACAAAAATATAAATTTATATATTAAAATACAGGTAGATATATTGTGAAAAATCGGAATAAAATTTTAAATAATTCCCAATTCATTTTACAAAAACTTAAAACATTTTATCTTATTTACTGCAAGTCGCCATCTGACGTTACGGTAGCAGTTTTGCTTTGGACTCACGGACTTGTACATGTAGTTAGAATAACCTAACTGTGTCTCGGGACAAGCCGTTACACCGGGACCGTAGGACATTTATCATTTTAACGATAGATCATTCTATCTAACGGACTTGAAGAAGTCCATCCTTACGTATCGGATTCGACTAGCTCCCACTGCGTGACATGGATATTGGCCTTTAATTCAGATTAAGATCCCGTGTTGCAGTAATTGCTAGCCAGAAAAATCCATCGCTGCTGAAAATTTTATTCTTTTTTTAATAAATGTACGTTAAATAAACAAAATCATTCATGCCACCGTCTTTCAGTACTCACAGTACTTTGATTATAATTTATTTTTGTTTAATAGTTATGATTTCATTGAATTCTAATAACAAGAAATAGATGAAAGAAGATTTTTTTTATTTACTTTTTTCACTTTATGTTAATTCCAGAATATTGTTAATTTTTAGGATAGTTGTATAAAACCCCCATTCTATCATTAATAATGAAAAAGTTCTTATTGTAACTTTGGAAGAAAATGATGAGAGAGGTACAATTAATCCC